CATATTTTATTTTATTAAATGAATTAATGGTGATTAAAAATTCAAATAAATAATAAAAAATGATGAAATAAATCCCCTTTGGGCCAAATGGTCGTGCATAGCCTTTGGATGATGAATCTTGGAAGAAAATGTGGCCCATTAGCAATTTTGAGGCATTTGAAGTAAAGTTGACTTTTCAAAATTCCCAAAAATTTCCCAACTTCCACAAGGCATATCTTGCTCAATTTTTAAGCTTTGATCATGTTCTTAGACATTTTGGAAAGTTCTTGAAGTCCTCTAACCAATGCCTTTGGTCCCATGTCATTTTGATCTACCAATATCAAGTTATGGCCTTTGACTTAAAGTCCCTTTTTGTTGACTTTTGAAAATGACCTATAATGTTGAAATTGATAACTTTTTGTGAGAGCATTTATTGGACTTGAAGTGTGAAGAGGAGTTGTAGGAAATTTATTTCTCTTCAAAATGAGCTTTGGATGGAATTTTTCTGATAAACCATGTGGAAGTTATGCCTTGGTCAAGTTACAGTTGACTTTTTCAACTGTCCAAATATGGAAACTTTTGTATCTTGAGAATTTTTGAGCCATGCTTTGAAAATCATGATCAAGAATTGATCAAATGATGTTTGTGGCTTAAAAATGAGATATTGACCAAAAATTTGAACTTTTGACTGTCAAATGACCATTTTGCCCCTGTAGTTGACTGTTGGGCAATTAGGGTTTTTGACTGTGCAATTTTGTGCTGTGAGTCTTGAAACTTGACATGAGGATGCTTGACAATGTTTATAGGCATGTGGGACTTTATTGGGCCCTTGGAAACCTTCAATTTCTTTGCCAGAACCAAAACCCTAGTTTTTGACTGTTAGGAGGCCCTTGAACTGTGCAACCCTTGGGGAAATTTTGAAGCATGCTCTTAGCAAATCTTGAAGGATATGGGAGGGCAAATTTTAGGGTACAACACATGGGCATGTTCAGGGCTATGAATGTGACATATTTTCTTCACAAACCTAAAGCTAACAATGCCTGGATAGAGAGATACGAGTTCATGAACTTACCTGTTCAGTTGGAATCGTGTACAACAACGGAGATGAGTACAAGGCAAGGTAATGATTTGTATAGCTTCCTTGATGCCTCAGGATGCTATTCCAACCCTTAGTTTGCTTGGAAACCAAAAGAATCGTGCTATGGTACTTCAACTGCAAAACCAGAAAAATGAAAATGGTGATGTTAGCTAGGGATGTTACAGGTCTTGTTTAGGGCTTGGAACAGTTTCAAGGGATGATGTGGGATATGTTTGAAGTGGTTTTAGCAAGAATGCATGAATGGATGGTGTTATAGAACTCAATCTGCAGCAGGTCCCCAATTTTGGCAGTTTGAGGGTGATTCTGTGTTTGAGAAGGCAATGGAGATGGTTGGCTCGTGTTTTAGCTTAGGTTTGATGATTAGAAAGTGTTTGATAACTTTGCTTAAGCTCTGGTTTACAGGAATGAGAGTTGTGTCTTGTTATGCTATGTTTCTTCAACTTTAAGCAACAAAGTGTCCACTTGAGTTTTTAGACTGATAGAGGCCCCCTAATGTGCTGCTAACCTTCCCCTTGATCAGTTTGTTTTGTTCATAAACTTGTGCCAAAAGGATTTGCACTGTACTTGCTTGGATTGCTAATTGACATAAAGTTCTACTTTTCAAAAATGGCAAAAATGCTTTATCTAATAAAGGCTTAATCTAACATGTAATGTCCAAATGCACAAAATAATGCTAACACACAATGGATTGGCATTTAATTATTGAGTGCAAATGGGATTAGAGGCCTGTAACTAGCTTATGCATGCTGATTTGAAAAGTTGCCCAAGTTATGAACATGTAAATTGGCCAAGAACAAAGTGAGTTTTTCCCAACTTGCCAAATTCGATTCTCCCTAACCATGAGGTTGTTTGATGAGTTCTTGGACATTTTAGAAAGCTTGGAATGTGTACTACAATTCATCTTTGAAATGCAAATTTAAATTCCAAGTGGAAGTATATGAAAAATGGTCTTGAAGTTAGGCAAAAATCCTGCCTAAAATAGGTCAAATTTTCTCTAAGTTAAGAATGGTTTGGTACCCTTGTTCCAAAAATTGTAACTTGAGCTACAAGCTTCTTTTGGGAAAACTTTGTGAATCAAAGTTGTAGATTTTGCAATGGAATACAACTTTCATGTTTTGACTTTTGCTTGAATCCAAATGAATCTTGGTGAGAAAGTGGGACAAAGTTAGAAAAAAATTAGGGTTTTTCATAACTTAGAAAAATTCTAAGTTATGAAAAATCTTCATTTCAAACCCTAATTTGCAATTCTTGATTTCTTGATGAACAAGTTTCATGATTTGTCATGTTTTGATGGAAAATGAATCTTGACACTTGATTTTGACCAAAAAGTCAAAGTTTGACTTTTCAGTATACAATCAAAATTGATCAATTGACTGGGAAATTCAACTGTCAATCTTGTGCATTTGGGATCTTTTGGACTTGTTGAGTATGTCAAGACAATTCCATGGGGTCCTTGAGTCCATATGTGAGTTTGGTTTGCCATTGGCTAGGTTAAACAGTCAAAAATTGCCTTTGTGCAGTCAAAACCCTAAAAATGACCATTTTGCCCTTTTGGTGATCTGATCAAATTTCTTGTGGAATTATGATCCAAACTTGATCAAATGGTCCATGTGAGTTCATAATGTTGATGTGGGTCAATTTCCATGAGATTTGACTGTCAATTGGCCACAGTTGACTTTTTCCCCAATACAGTTGATTTCTATGTCAACTGTCCAATTGACTGGGCAAAATTTGGAATCAAGACTTGAAACTTGGTATGGATAAACTTGGGAGTCCAACATGAAGTATGAAAGTCATCTTAGGCATTTTAGGTCAAAATATCTTTGTGCAAACACAAACCCTAATTTGGGTCAACAGTGCAAGGAGAATTCTTGAGCAGAGGAAACCCTAACTGGATCTTGAGCTCCAAGGGTCTTGTGATGAGAAAATGTTGAGGAAATGGGAGGGAAAATTTTGGGGTACAACAGTTTCCCCTATTCAATCTTCTTGAATCTGAAGAGTTAGATTGGCAAGTTTGCCTTTCGTGACTCGAGGGTAAAAGGAGATTGGACACTAGAGTGCCCTGAAATTTGCACTCGCATGTTGGAGTATCAGCAATGTGATGTCGGGAATGGGCTTATAGATGCCATTTGGAGAGATGGTGGATAGGGAGATGGGCTTATAGATGCCATCTGAAGGCGTGACAGAATCTTGTCGGGAATGGGCTTATAGATGCCATTTGGGGGTGTTGATCGCATAAGAGATTCCTTAGCGAGAACTTGTGTATTTTGAGAAAGACAGATGTTTTCCTGGCTTGTTACAGGTGTTGATCTTCAATCTCTTCATGCAGACATGCCCTGGCTAGATACAGGTGTCGAATCTACAATCGGTTGCTCGCAGATATGCCCTGGCTGGATACAGGTATCGAATCTGGAATTAGTCGTCAACAGACATGCCCTGGCTGGATACAGGAATCGAATCTTCGAACTCTTCAGATGTGCCCTGGCTAGATACAGGAATCGAATCCGGAATTGTGACAGTTGATAGATATGCCCTGGCTGGATACAGGAATCGAATCTTCAAACTCTTCAGACGTGCCCTGGCTAGATACAGGAATCGAGTCTGGAAATAGTCGTCAACAGATATGCCCTGGCTGGATACAGGAATCGAATCTTCAAACTCTTCAGATGTGCCCTGGCTTGGTACAGGAATCGAATCTGGAAACTGATCACTCACAGATGTGCCCTGGCTAGATACAGGAATTGAATCTGGAATTGTGACAGTTGAAAGTAGTTGTCTTTTGGGTTGTCTTTTTTCCTGAAAAAGCAAAATATCAGTTGTATGCAATGTCATGATGTATGAAATGCATGATGTCATGATGTTCAAAATGAGATAGTGTTGTATGCACTTTATCATGTATGTAAGCAAGATGTACGAAATATGAAATGTTTATGAATGTATTTTTGTCTAGGAAAATAAATCCTTGACGAATGGCCGGGGAATCAAATCCTGGGCTGATGTTGAAGAGTAGAGTTCTTCGTTTCCGCTGGGGATGATGGTTGCAAGAATACACGGTAGGAGAAGATGACTCCGTTGGGGAATAAACTTGTTGGAGAGATTACTCTGAGGGGAATTACTCTGTGGAAAGAGATACTTCGCTGAAGTTTTGATGAGAGCTCCGCTGAGGATTTCAAAGATGGGCTCCGCTGGGGATAACAATGATTAACTCCGCTGGGGATTGCAATGTTAAACTCCGCTGGGGATTGTGTTGATAAGTTATGTTGGAGAACTTTGATGAACTCCGCTGGGGAATGAAAGAACTTCGCCGAGGGCGATCTTCCGTGGCAATTAGTTGAGGATAACCCAGTTATAAGCCCTTGTGAGGAATAACTTTGAATAAAGCTCGGGAGAGACGTCCGTACTTTGTATGGGATAAGCTTCCAAGGATTAGCTTTTGCTTTTAGTCCCTGTAAATTAGGGTTTTGTATTGAAAGAAAAATGAAGCTCTGGCTGTGGGAGGGAGGAGACCAACAAACAAAGATGGTGAAATGCTCGATTTCATGACCAAGTAAAACGCAATCGCCTCTGTGGAACACAATCGCATATGTGGAACTCATTCTCATCTGTAGTGTCTTCTTTCTTCCCTCTATCAGTGAGTTACCTTTGTTTATTGTATCTTCTTGAGTTAATGATGGAGTACATTTTGATTTTTCATTATGGTGGTAAATTTGATAGGGATTGTATAGTATATTACACTGGGGGACACGAGCATGCAGTAGAAATAGATTCAAATATGTAGAACTTATTTGAAGCAATAAGTATTGTATAAGAGTTAACTAAGCTTGAGCATTCAGAATATTGGTTATGATAGTATAACAATGGTGTTGATATGTATAGTAGAATGGTTAGTGATAGTGATGTTGATAAGGTACATCAATATGCCATGGAAATGAAGTTTGTAGTGCACATATATGTTGAACATAATGGTAAAGGAAATGCACAAGAAGCTGGTGGTCAAGAAGATGATGTTTGTGGTGTTGAACAAGATGAAATAGGTAATGTTAGTGGTGTTGAACAAGATGGAGTCGGTAATGTTGATGGTGTTGAACAAGTTGAAATATGTAATGTTGTTGTTGTTGAAAAAGTTGAAGGTATTGATGTTGTTGGTGTTGAGCAAGTTGAAGTACGTGATGAAAATGAGGATAGTGAGGATAATGACTTTGAAGCTGGTGGCTTATCATTTGATAATAGTGAGGATGAGAGGGCTATTGGGTTGGATGATTGCTTTGATGTTATTGAAAATGAAGTTGAAGAAAAAAGCAAAAGAGGTAGGATAAAAGTTGCAGCAAAGAAGCATAAACATAATCCAAAGAAAGTTTATGGAGATTAAATCATCTAGAAAAACCTCCAAGAAATTCTAGGAAGTCGGAGACGTAAGTTTGACTACTCTTAATTATTTATGCTAATCCATCTACCGAAGTTCTATAAAATATTTGGCACTCTTAAAGCAGAAGAATACAAATAGGAAGTTGTATTCCCATGACTCTCTTACCATTTCTTTATAAGAAAACAAAAGATTGGTATTTGGATCAAACAACGCATACCATGAAAATTGGAAAGTGCTAGAAAAGAAGTTCCTCAACTGATTCTTCTCTTAAAACAAGTTTATGGAAGCCGAAAAAAATGATTGTTGTATTTCCAAAAAGAGCCATATAAACTTTATGTAAATCTTGGAAAAGATATAAATCAATTTCGAATGAAAAAATATTTACTTTCTTAGTTTATCTTAAAATTTCCAGCTTTTAGTAGTCTTGTTAGGGTTTGTGATTTAGACATCCTAACAATTGGATATATATATATATATATATATATATATATATATATATATATATATATATATATATATATATATATATATATATATATATATATATATATATATATATATATATATATATATATATATATATATATATATATATATATATATATATATTATAGTAATGGATAGTAACTAAAGACCCAATAACTAATTAAAGCTAAATTCAACAACAACTTTTAAAGATTTTAAGAACATTTTAGAATTATTACAAAACAATAACTAATATAAAATACTAAACAAACTATATTAACTCTCTATTACATTTCCGTGAAAGATATGAAAAATTCACTATTCTTATCATTCTTAATATTTTGAAAATGACATGTTTGGGTTGTTTTAAAAACCTGATTAGGTCCACAAATAACACTTATTGATTGTAATTTATTCTAAATGTACAAAATTCGTAATGTTTGGATTGATTGTCAAATTTAGAATGTTGATTTGAAACCATGCATGTTAAGTGTTCAATAAATCGTCTAAACATGTTGAAATGTTAAAAGTAGTGATTTAATGATTGAGATAAATGAATATAAATTAGGAAAGTGTTACATGTTGAGTTATGATCTTTTAATTAGAAATTAAGAAAAAAGTTGTAGGATATGACAAACTTCAATTTAAACCTTAAATGTGATAAAGGGTTGAGACTCAAAATTTTGAACCACATGTCATTTCCAAATGTTTTGGACTTGGTTTTCATGGTTGAAAGTGTTAAATATTTTGTAGAAATCTTGGTGCTAGAGTTTTTTGGTTAAATAAGTTTGAAAAAAATATTTTGGGTGAACTTTGATAATGAATGCAAGGCAATTGAATACCATGAGCATAAATCTAACTTGTCTCAACTCTGTGATTATTGATTTTAATTTCATATGGCACTAAAGAAGAAACTGCAGAAAGAAGCTAAATCCTCCATATAAGCTATATCAAGATCTTCAAATGTTGCAATCCAGTTTATGGGTGACTTATATACAAGGCCGACCTTGGGCGAGAAACAATCAGGCCCGGCCTCCAAAAAATAGAGGTCTCAAAATTATTTCTTATAAATTGTAAACCTGAAATAAATATATAAATATTAGTTATCCAACTTAATTCGCAATGTAAACTAGTTAGCATAGTTGTAAATAAGCTTGTTTTTGTCTCAAAGGTCAGCCTCCAAATTGTCAGGGAAGACCTTGCATATATATTGTCAAATTTCAAACAACTCATAATAGATTTTTATCCCCCAAGAGAATACTACTATTTAATGAGCATCATAAGTATAATAGTCTGATCGCACTAATACATGATCACAATTGTAGGGGACAATGACATAACATGAGCCACAATACAAGATCATGCTTTTATACATTTAACATACACAAGTATCTTTTTTGCAACAATTAAGTAAAATATTGTAGGCCTTTCTATGAACCAACTTATCAATCTCACTCCATAAGTTATACTAGGCCATATATGACATAAGTATCTCAATGATCCAACTATTTTCTTGTTCAAAGTTGCATCTATTGGTATTTCATCACCATCATAAAATCAATTTTATCTATGTCTCAACTGGTGTGGCCACTAGCTTATAATATTACACATTGTACTTCTTTAAAACATCTCTTGCACATTTTATTTAATGCAGTGGAACCTTTTTTGTTGTGATTTCAAATTGCATTCTCAGAAAGTGGGATATGGATATGAGATTAAACATATCAAACTCACTCACTGTCTGTTTCTTGATGTATTTCATCTTAGCTCTATCACTCCCCGTTATGATCATGTCACTAACATATAAGTATACCATCACATTATATTGTTGGATTTCACAGAAAGATCCTTACCACCCTAAAGAATAATTATATGGATGGACTTTTGCGGGAAGATCCTTGTCGCCCTACTGGGTAATTATATCATTGTACTTCCAAAAGAAGAATATTTCCACCCTACGAAGTAACTATACTATCGTAATTCGAAAGGAAGATCCTTGCTGCCCTATTAGGTAATAGTATTGTTGGACTTTCACAGAAATATCCTTGTTGTCCTACGAGGCAAATACATCGTTAAACCCTTGGGTTAGTCAGCACCAACACTATGAATAATATAATGGACATCATACTAAGAATGATATATACAAAAAACCTCCAAAGGATGGAACGTAGCTCTTAAAGAGAGGTTCCTAGAAAATGGGAGTACAAAATACCTCGTAGTGGATGAGAATATAAATAACTTGCTAAAAATGTAAAGGAATGAATCCCCTAAGAAACTCATCCTCTAATGGACTCAACAAAGCCTCGTGTGAGAGACTCAATAGAGTCTTTCCAGAGGTATTCAACAAAGTCTCGCTTTAGAGACTCATCAAAGTCTCGTTAGAGGGACTAAGAAAAGTCTCGCCTGGGGGGCTAAAAAAAGTATCGCTTGAAGGACTCAACAGAGTCTCGCCCGAGGGAATATAAAAAGTCTCGTCATATTGATTCAACAAAGTCTCGTCAGAGGTACTCAATAAACTCTCACTTGAGAGACTAAATATAGTTTCATTTGAGGGACTCAAAAGAGTCTCACCTCAGGGGCTCAACTAAGTCTAGTCAGAGGGACTCAATAAGGTCTCGCCTGAGTGACTCAATAGATTATTGCATGAGGGACTCAACATAGGCTCGTTAGAGAGACATAACAAAGCCTCGTCAAAAGGACTCAATAAATTCTCATATGAGGGACTAAACAAAGTCTTGTTAGAGGGGCTCAACAAAGTCTCGCATGAGAGACTCAATAGAGTATTGTATGATGGACTCAACAGAGTCTCGTTAGAGGGACTCAATAAAGTCTCATTAGAAGGACTCAAAAGAGTCTAGTTTGAAGGACTCATCATAGACTCTCCCAAGGGACTCAATAAAATGTTACCTAAGGGACTCAACAAATTTTCATCAGAGGGACTCAACAAAGTCTCGATTGGGCTTCTCTAGAAGATTGGAATGTGAGGGGTTAAAACACTTCAGCCTCTACTAACCCTCATGCCTGAGGGACCGTGTAGTGGTATAATTGAGGAAAACCTTATGGAGATGCCGAAAGGCATACACTTTGTCCTTCCCAAGTCACCCCTTTATTAGTTTAAGAGTCATTCCTTTGGTTTGATCGATGCTTGTCTAGATTCATTGCTCGACTTGCCCTTTTTTTGTCCATAACATGCGATCGTGGGTGGAGCATATACTGAGTCAACCGTCGGTACATAGGAAGTCATAGAGCTTAACTATATCTCCTGAATTTCTGGGTATTAATCACATATTCCTTTGAAGGTTTCTATATTCTAGGGAGACTTAACTCACCCGATTCATGGCCCTCGAGGGTTATAAATACATCAATACCATGATACTGAAAGAGACAATCAATAACATTAAAAAATATTCATATACATCAGCTTCTCACCTTAGGTGAGCTAACTCTCAATATTCTAACAACCTTAAATTCACTGACAATCCTTATCCTTTAGGGATTGTCTTCAGAGAACAAGTGTTGATAATGAAAGAAGATTTCAATGAAGAAACCAATTGTTAAGGGAAAACTGAGATGGTGAGGAAAATGAGAGAAGTAGAGGGAGACAAGATTGAACATTTTGGTTTTGGGGAAATGTATGACGGGAATAACAAATCATCAATTATATTTTTTTATTGATTTGACTGACACCTTATTAAGGTCAAGGTTCGAATCAAACATACAAGCTAAGGAGAAATTGCAATTTCTTATTTAACCTAGTGTCGAAAACGTATAATAGACATAAATGATAAAAATGAAATGGTTCAATAGTGATTCAGTTGCAAGAACGTGACTTCATCTGAGAAGTGAAAATTTTGAACCATTTTCATCCTCAGAACTAGAATGGGGCAATAAAGTAGGATGGCCAATAGAGAGATTTCCAAAACATATATAATATACTATTCTTATTCAAGAATGTTATTTTGACACATAAACCGTATTATTTTGAGATCTGTTCATAATACAATAGACAATATATATTTTTTAATTTTGACTTTCCAATATTTTTTCTCTATTTCACTAAAACTGTTTAGGTTAATAAAGTGTAAAAATTTGATTAATACAATTGATAGTTTGGTAATATATCTCATAACATCAAAATATAGTCTTAATTTGTAAAACAAATTTGATTAATCGATTTTAAAATATTGATTAATATAATTTTTAGTTTGATTATTAAATGCTCTGACATAAAAAAAAAAATCTTATGTGATAAATCAATTTTGATTAATGGAATGTAAAATGGTAATTAATACAATTTATAATTTTCTTAATAAGCATTCAAATTTATAAAAATAGTCTTAAATATTAAAAATTAAGTTAGTTAATAGATTTTAAAATGTTGATTATTTTAATGTTTGAAATTGATTAATATTCTGTATTCTATTTGTATTTTATTTTTTATAAAGTAGTATAAATGATTAGTAAATTATAATTAAAATAAGTGATTAATAAGAAATATTTTGTGATTAAAGAAGTGATGAAATTAATTAACAATTTTAATCACATGCAGGTTTGTTGATTAGAATAGAATCCATGCAATAATCATCTGCAACAACATGTACATCTCATCAATGTAAGTAATAGCAACGAAATTGAATACATCTTTCATAGCAAATTGAAACATCCATTGCACTGTTTATAGAAAAGCATCCAAACAACAGCCAATAATAAACACCACACACATGACAGAAACATAAAAAGAAAACAGAAGCATTGGTCTATTATTAGAGCACATCATAGAAGGAATGAAGAGACAAACTGCATCTTCATGTGAGCTGCAACATGGAGATTATGAACCTGTTCGCATGGACACAGAAAACTATCAAAATTGAGCATGATACAAATAACACAAGAAAAGCATAAAATTGTTAGAGGAAAGAGTACCTTAATATTTTAGACATTGAGTTGAGTAGGAATCGGGCGCAACTCATAGTCATGAAATTTTTCTCCTACTTTCTGACGAATTAGTACAAGCGGAATATGATTGATAATCCAATGGCACGGTCCATCTTTCTCTAGATCAATGCTATCAACTAATTCAACGGGCATATCAGCAAATCCAAGGAATTGAAGGTTTTTCAAGTGGTGAAGGTCTTGCGGAACCACCTTCAATTGAGGGTTATTGTTAAATCTGAAGTGTTCGAGACAAAGTAAAGCTTCTTCGTCTATAGATACAGAACTTAGTCTATTTAATCTAGTCAGGTCCAACTCCTTCAGCTTATGAAACCCTTCTTTCTGAAAATGCAATCTTTCACCAGAAAATGCATCGTCCCACAAATTCAGCCTCAACAAATTCGGCAAATTCTTCAAAGAGTCTAGTGGATCATCTTCGAAGTTAGATAAACCAAGTCTTAACTTCACAAGATACTTGAGACTTGGAATCCATTTAGGCAACTTTGTTAGCTTGCATTTCAAATTGAGCACTCTAAGATAGGTTGGAGGTGATTCAAGATCCAAGTCAAGGATTTCATCCTTAGCTATAGCACCGATATTCAGAGATTCAAGGTGATCCATCTCTTGTATTGCATCACATAGTGCATTTCCGTATTCTCCCCGAACATGCTTTATGCCTAACTTTCTTAACTGTTTCAAACTTTTGAGCTCTTGGATAAGGTCGTTTCCACCATGATCAGCTTCCAGAAAGTAAAGTTTTTGTAAAGATTTCAAGATTCCAATACCTTTTTGCATTTTCACTCCTATTGTAAAGTTCAACATTGAATAATGCCCTTCGTATTTTCTATAATAAGCCGGAAGAAGCCTTAGCTTTGTGAGCTGGTTTATCTCTTTTGGTAACTCATGCACTGGAGTTTGCCTTAGATCCAACGTTTCTAAGTTGACTAGCTTACAAATGGATCTGGGAAGAATCGTAACTTTTGTATGACTCAGGTTCAAGTATAGTAGATGGAAAAGATTCCCCAAGTTATCAGGAATAGAATTCAACAAAGAATTCTCAAAATCAAGCACTTTCAAAAGCTTGAACGTGGAAAATGCTCTGTCCATGAAATGTTCATTCACCTCTCCTTTGTCAAAAACAAAAATAGCACGAACTCCCGTGTTACTAGAGCTTCTAAACACATTGTTTGCATTAGCTGCTATAGAGAAGCGCCTAGTTATTCCAACCATGACATGTTCATCATCTTCTTGCATCAAATGACAAAAGCTTAAATCTTTCATTTTTCTGATAATCACTTCGCGCAACAAATCATGGACTTGACAACTTTTCACTTTCCCATCAAAACCCACTTTGGAAACTTGAACCAAACTTCTATGTATCAACTGTATCATGTGCTCTTCAGCAACTTCCTCCAATGGCCTAATCTCCTCATCCTTTACAAACCCTTCAGCCATCCATTGTCGAGTAAGTCTTTTGCGATTGATGATGTAGTCCTCAGGATATATACCAAAATACAACATGCATGATTTCAAGTGGTAAGGCAAATCATCATAACTCAGAGATAAAATCTTCATTAAACTAGTTAAATGGGCATTGCGCTCTAACTCCATTCTCAGATTTTTACTCACCTTTTCCCACTCAAAAATAGTTTTAGATTTTGTTGACAAAAGACCCCCAATGGCCACAATTTCCAGTGGCAGCCCTCCACATTTTTGAACAATTTCACCGGACAGACCCTCGAGTTCTGCTGGACACTTTTTTCCAGGCTCATATCTAAATGCCTTGTTGCAAAAAAGTTCCCATGCTTTCTCTAGAGACAAAGGTTGTAGCTCGTGAACATGGACAGGAAAATATTTCTTAAAATATTCAGCAACATGCATCATCCTAGTAGTCACAATGATTCTACTTCCTTTGTTATTACTAATTAAGGCATGTTGAATCTCATCAGAAAATTTTTCTTTCCAAACATCATCAAAAAACACCAAGTACCTTTTTGACTCAAGGTATTGTCTCACATGAGTAATCAATGTTTTGCCATCCATCTTCTGCAGACCCTTTGGAATAGACTCATTGCTATCCTTACAAAATTTCTCTACCATATCAATCAACAAGTCCCTCACAGTATAAGATTGAGAAACTGTGATGAAAGATCTACAATCAAAGTGTTTTTTTACGAGCAGGTTATTAAAAACATAGTTAGAAAGAGTTGTTTTTCCGAGTCCTCCCATGCCAACCACCGAAACCAAGACGAGTTCATTGGTTCCTTCCACCAAACATCTCACCAATTCATCTCTTGATGACTCAAACCCAACAACTTGAGTCTCTTCAATAAAAAGCGAAGCCATTCGAGGATCACCAAAACTTTCACTTTGAGAAGCCCCTCTATGGAATCCTGGTCCATTTTCAGCCTTAAACTCATACCTGATACTTCTTTCTTTGATTCCACCAATTGATACTTTGATATCTTTCGTCTCAGAAGCGATCCAATGTCTCAGCTTCATGGTTTTAATCATCTGAAATACCATTTTGAGCGAGACCATGCATCCAGAATCCGAATGTTCAACCCTTTGTGCCAAATACATGGTATAGTAATCAATGACATCTTCAATGCGAAAAGATGCTTCTCTTACCTGCTTCACCCATGTTTTGACTCCTTCATTAGACCCTCCTCCTCCACCATCATCACAAGCCTTTCTGTCTGCATCCTTGAGGAAAGCGTGAATGCTCTCAAGTTCAACTTTGATGTCATCCAAGTCTTTGTGTACTCCTGTCAGCAAACTTCCTTCTTCTAATGCAAGTTTGTAGAGTTGCTCTAAAACAAATGACACTGTAGTTTCTGCCATTTTTTAATTCCTGTTACTTTTGGACAAATTACCTCTTGCAACCAACTTCAACTCTTTTGTTTTTGGTCCTTTGCTTTTTCTATACGCCAGATTTGATTCAAAATGTTATTAAAATTAATAAACATTATAGTAGTATTCAAAATATTTAAGTGAGTGGAACTTTTTGCAGAACAAGTGGATGCTTATCATACTAGCAATAAATATAGTTGTGGGGGTGTTGTACCTAAAAAAAACTAACAGCTGTTTGACAATAAATGAAGTGTCTTGGTATTTTAGAATATTATTTGCTTAACCTTAGTGATCTCTTATTATTTGTGCCAACAATCAAAGAATCAACCAGGAAGTGTGGAGCAGGATCTAAACTAAACTTAAAAAACAGGAGACTCACGCATGTTTTAATTTCGGTTTGTATCCTTTACCTTTTATTCTCTAATTTTGGGTGATTTTAGGCTTAAAAAAAGAAGAGAAAATATAAAAAATATGACAGAGAAATTGAAAAATGGAAGATAGTAAGTTAGTTGGATGACATTAGCTCTTTAAAGATGGGAGATACTTGTCTACTTGAATTTAATCTCACTGTTCTTATTTTATTTTCTCTTTTGTAGAAATGTGTTACATTAAACTTACTTCCCGTCAAAAAAAAGTTAATCTTACTTTTTAAATTTTGTTTTTATGTAAATTTATATAAATAGGAATTAGCTAGCTTAAATTGAAGTATTTAAATTCTATAATTAATAGTAGAATTACATCAACAATCAAGTGTTATCTCATTAAGTGGGATTAGTTATATGGGTTAATTTTCGTTATAATGTTCTATCTAATACTATGTTTATATTGAAATTTTCAATCTCAATATCTTTCTTAATAACTTTTCTTATAATATTTCTAAGTCTTTCTCTTCCTCTAGTGATTTGTCTTCTCTCCATTTGATTCACTCTCCTTATCACAAAATTTACACGTCTTCTCTCTACATGTCAAAACCACCTAAATCTATTTTTCATCATCTTCTCTGTTATAGGTGTTACCCCAACACACTAATATTTTCATTTATAGTACTATCCTATCTAGTCTTACCACATATGTAACACAACATCCTTATCTCTACTACGTTTATTTTATTCTCATGCTGATTCTTAACCTCATAATATTTTGTCCCATACAATATCGCAGGTCTTACCGCAATCCGATAAAAAATTCCCTTCAACTTGAGCGGTACTTTTGCATCACATAAAATTTCTGAACTCCCTCTCCATTTCAGCCACCCAACTTGAATTCGATGATTTACATCCCCTTCTATTTATCCATCATTTTGTATTACGGACCCAAGATATTTAAACCGCATGACTTGAGGGATGATATGGCTTCTAACTTTTACCTCTAGGTTAGAAACACTTCTTCTTTTGTTGAACTTACATTCCATATACTCCGTCTTACTTCTACTTAGGAAAAAATTATGTGTTTCTAAAACTCGTTTCCAAATCTCCAAACTCTCATTTGAATCCTCCTTTGACTCTCCTAGTAGGATTATATCATCTGCAAAAATATGTATCTCAGTGCTAGCTCTTGAATGTGTTTTGTGAGCATCCAAAATTAAGGTAAAAAAGTAGGGGCTTAGGGTTCAACTTTGATGCAAACTTATTGTAATGGAGAAATCGTCTCTCTCCATATTGTATTCGTACACTAGTCGATACCATTTCATATGTATCTTGAATAGCTCGAATATATTCAATCATAATCCCTTTCTTCTCTAGGACTTTCCTCAAAATCTCTATACGCACTCTATCATACGTCTTCTCCACGTCAATAAAAAATCAAGTGCAAGTCTTGTTCATCTGATACTACTCCATCACACGTCGTAGTAGATATATCGCTTTTATGGTCGACCTTCTAGGTATAAAACCAAATTAATTCTCAGTGACTTTAGTAATTTTTTTTAGTTTTCGTTCAATCACTCTTTCCCATAACTTCATGGTATGATTCATAAGTTTAATCTCCTTTTAATTTGCACAATTTTGTATATCCCCTTGTTCTTATAGATTGTGTTGGAAAATGCATTAATATTTTATTCTTTTTTATTATTTTCCATTATGTCTGTTTATTCTGCTTTATTTTCCATTATGGAGAAATTGATTGTAATTAGTAGTATTCTCTCTTTATAAATCAATCTTGGGCTGAGGAATAACGTAACAGTATTTTACATATTATTTTCAAAATGGTATCAAGTGCACTAGGTTAGGGTTTTACTATAAAGCTTTCCTCAACTGTAAATCCCCCAAAAATGACATGGATTAACTAGGAAATAATCTTGAAATTTACGATTTGGATAGAAACATGTTCTTGAATAGAATATTTTGACAAAGTTGATTCATGTAATCGACCCCACTTTGTGAGATAAGGTTTGATTGTTGATGTTGTTACATAAGTTGTTTAATCTAAATGAGCTCACACGTGGCTACAACCATAACTCTATATTCAACCTCTACATCAGACTTTGCAACCACATTTTGCTTTCTGATCTTCCATGATATAAGATTTTATCCAATACCCTAAAGTAGAACGCTTATCAATGAAAGAATCTGCCCAATCTATATCGCAAAATATGACTATTTGAGTGCTTCTTTTGTCTTCATAAAGCAATCTTTATTCTGTGTTTCTTTTTAAGGTATCTCAAAATTTGAATTAGTGCATCCCAATGATCCTTATGCAAAGGTTCTATGAATTGACTTACCACTTCAACTGCAAAAGAAACATCCGGCTTTGTAATACTAAGGTAAATGAACTTTCTAATCAATCTTTGATATTTTTCAGAATTAGAATAAGGCTCCCCTGATTGGGTAGCAATTGTATCTTTCAGAATTAGAATAAGACTCTCCTGATTGGATAGCAAGTTTTAATTTAGATCATAGGACTATCAACTGGTCTACTGTCCAATATACTAATTTCTTTTGAGTATATATAATGCATAATTTCTTTGTGAAAAGATAATCCCTTTCATTGACTGAGCAACTTCAATTCCAAAATGATATTTCGCTCTTCCTAAATCCCTGGTCTTAAAAAAAGGCATTTCTATTTGTTGTCACAGTAACTATATTTATGATTATTATTATATGGTTTGTTGAATTAATAAGTCTCATTTACCAAAAATAATGAATCACTGTTGTCTTAATTGCTTACGATTGAATACTCTACTAGACAGATACGCATCCATTATAATATATGCTGCAACTAATTCATCAATGTGATACATCCTGTAAATAATAGTAACGAAATTGCATACATCTTTCATAGCAAATTGAAACATCCATTGTACTGTTTATAGAAAAACATCCACACAACAACCAAAAGTAAACAACATACACAAATGATAGAAAACAGAAGCATTGGTCTATTAATAGAGTACACATTTCTTGACTTGAATATATAGTAGATGATTCAATTCAAGGAAATAATTTATTACACACCATAGAAATTGCATCAATGTAGATTTCATCAATGTAATACATCCTGTAAATAATAGTAACGAAATTGCATACATCTTTCATAGCAAATTGAAACATCCATTGTACTGTTTATAGAAAAACATCCACACAACAACCAATAATAAACAACAACAACACACACAAATGAGAGTACACATTCCTTGATTAAATAACAGATGATTCAATTCAAGAAAATAATTTATTAAACACATCGTAGAAGGAATGAAGAGAAACTGCATCTTCATGTAAGCTGCAACATGGAAAATATGAACCTGTTCACATAGATACAGAAAACTATCAAAAATGAGTATGATACAAATAACGTAACAAGCTAATTGGTCTTGTGACCTTAATTTTTCAGTTATGAAGAAACAATCTTGTTACATGATTTATGAAAGAGCTAATCAAATTTAGAAAGCATAAGACATCCATAAACATACATGAATGAAAATAAACTTTTTTAATCAATCATATACACGACGAACTTAAATGGGAGTTTACTTTTTTAACAAGACAAATGTATAACATTACTTTTCTTATGATAGTTGTGCATGGATTACAGGATAGTATTACTTTCAATTGTGTTGTTGAATCTGAAATGCTGAAGACTGACTAATGCTTCTTTCTCTATAGAGATAAAACTTAGTTTATTCAATCTAGTGAGATCAAGCTCCATCAGCTTAGGAAACCCAACAACTTGAAAATGCAAATTATCACCAGCAAATGCATCATCCCACAAATTCAACCTCAACAAATTTGGAAAATTCTTTAAAGAGTCTAGTGGATCATCTTTAAAGTTAGATAAACCAACACTACGCCAAAAGTGAGTTTTAACAGTGCACATTAGACAGCACTTTTGTACAAAAGTGCTGCTATAAGTGAATTAAAAAAAACACGAAAACCGTATAAAATAATTAGTAAAAACGCTGCTAAACATATGACCTTAAACAGCGCTTTTAAAAAGCGCTGCTAAAGGATTGCTTTAGAAAGCGCTTTATCATAAGCGCTGGTAAAGGGCCACTTTAGACAGCGCTTTAAGAAAGCGCTGTCTAAAGTCATAAAAAATTAAAAAAAATATTAGAAAAACGCTGCTAAATGACACTATTAGCCAGCGTTTTTCAAAAGCGCTGCTATAGGTCCATATTAGCCAGCGCTTTTAGAAAGCGCTGTCTAAACCCTTATAAGTGAAAATTAAAAAAATAGAATCTGTGTATTCACGGATTCACGAATACAAAAGCTAGAAACCCTTTCCCTCCTTCAACAGTGAGCGAAACCCATTTCCTTCTCCGTCTCAAATCCTTCGCCGTCGTACACCGTCCTCCACTGTCTCGCTCGGTTTTCCTCCACCCACACCGACCGGTTCTCAAGGTATGTTCTTTATTGAAAATGTGTTTAACTCCATTGATGTCCAAACTGAGTTATCCTCCTTGAAAATGTGTTTATATCCATTGATGTCCAAATGTGTTTATCTCCTATTGATGTCTAAACTGAGTTATATGTATGCATTTTAATTTTTGGATT